TGTATTTTAATTATAATAATGTTACCATTTACTTCTCACAGTTTAGTTTTATTTTACCCTTTTATTGTAGAGTGCAGCAAATGCCCCCAAATCGTGGTACTCAGCCAATGTTAATGAGTTTACAACCAACAGTTCCAGTACCGCACTCAGGTATTTTAGATCTTGACTGCTTGAAAGTGAATTTATGTTAATGGATGTTTTTTCATTTAATTCAAGGAGTACTTGTTTCTATGCCTCAAGGCCCACCCCTTATGCCACCGACTTCAATGCCCCAGCAACCTCAACAGCCAAAAACCATCATGCAGCAACCTACACAACAAGGTTTGTTGTAATTCAGTTATAATAAATTGATGTGATTATAAAAATAAATCACATGTATTCTAACAAATTTCTTTTGCTTTCAGTATATCACTATGAGTCTGCACCAGTGGAAGCAACAGAGCATCAACATCAACCACCTCCACCACATCAGACGGTTTCTGAAAATGATCATTCTGCTCAGGTGCAACAAGCTCAAATGCAAAATTCACCAAACACTAGTACTTCTTCTATGCCCCAACAATCAACCTTGGCAAACACTAAAGAAAAAACCCCAATGTGTCTAATCAATGAATTAGCTAGATATAATAAAATTCAACATCAGTATCGTCTCACTGGAGAGCAGGTACAAATTAACAACATTGGACTTAGTTTTATTACATAATATTAAATTCTTTCGTTTCGTTAAATTGTCGTCGTCTTTTTTATGTATTCTCAATTATATACAGTGGAGTATATTTATGTATAATTTATATAACACTACTATTGAAAAAATAATATGATAATATGCCATTAACATATGTATGTAAAAATGTAACGTTGAAATTGTCTGTGTTACAAGTTTGGATTAATTTTAGGGGCCAGCTCACAAAAAGCTGTTTACTGTTACTTTAAAATTGGGCAATGAAGAATATGAAGCTGAAGGACCAAGCATAAAAAAAGCCCAGCATGCTGCTGCTGCCTTGGCTCTTAAAAGGACAGATTTGAAGCATCCTCCTCCAAAAACTGCTCGAATTAATAGGTCTGGCCTGAGGAACCCCGGTATGGTCACTCCAACAGTAGAATTGAATGCACTAGCTATGAAAAGAGGAGAACGAACGGTGTATGTGCTAGATAGTGTTCCATCACATCAACCTCAGGTTAGTATACAATATTAAAAAAATGTACAGAACATTACTAAAAAAATTGTTTTATTTAGGGATACATTTCACAAACTGGTTATTATCCTCGACATAATATGTATAATCCAGGGCAACCACGTTATCCAAATTTTGATATTCGGCGGGGCCGAGGATACCATACCCATTATGATCGATATTATGGACCGTATAGACCTGGTTACCAGCATCCTTCTGGAGAACCAGTAACTGTACGCCTTCGAGTTGGAGACAGAGAATACCCAGGCGTGGGATGCACCGTTCAGGCGGCCCGTCATGATGCAGCATCCAAAGCTGTCGAAGATATTAAACAAATGGAAGCTGAAGAACAACAACATCAGCAGCAGCAACAACAGCAACAACAACAACAACAACAACACCAGCAGCAGCAGCAACAGCAGCAGCAGCAGCAGCAATGCAATACAACACAAGAAAATGGTAAGGTTATCAATTAGTTAAAAAAAGTAAGTCATTTTTATTAGGTATTGTTAATTTAACAGGTTACTTGGTAACGACAAATGGAAATATTAATCAGGATTTAAGTACAGAACTCAAATCTCCAATTTCATTGGTACACGAAATTGCCCTTAAAAGATCTCTGAATGTAACTTTTGAGGTTCTTAGTGAGAAAGGCCCTCCTCATATGAAGATTTTTGTGACCCAATGCCGAGTTGGGGATTTAATCGCGAATGGGGAAGGAAATGGAAAGAAATTATCGAAGAAAAGGGCTGCAGAAAAAATGTTAGAGGAACTAGCGAAATTGGGACCACTTATTAGTACTAACAATATGGCTCATCTAAAACGCAAGAGGGTAGTTGCTAAGAAAAAAACTAGGAACTTGATTAAAGTTAATGCTGACAAAAATTCAGAATATACTGAAGAGATCAATCCAATATCGCGCCTGATACAAATACAACAAGCCAATAAAGAAAAAGAACCTGTTTACACAGTGAGATTAAATAAATTTCGATAGTGTCAGTTTATTTCACTGTTTTTCTCTTTTAAGGTAGTAGAAGAAAGGGGTGCTCCTAGAAGGCGTGAATTTGTAATAGAGGCTTCTGTAAAGGGACACTCGTGTACTGGAATAGGTCCCAATAAAAAGGTGGCAAAACGTAAGGCTGCAGAAGCATTGCTTAATTTATTAGGTTATTCGAGCAGTCCTGTACAGAACATACCTCCAAAACCAGTAATCAAATCTGAAAAAGAAGTAGAGTTGGTAGACAAGCTGCGGAAAGTAACATTCATGGAAGAAAAGTCTGAAGTTTCTGTTGGGGGCAGTGGAGGCCGTCAATTGGTTCCCGGGCTTTTGCTTGTAGGAGATCAGTCTGCCAGTTTCCAGCAGGTATTTGTAATTGTATGAATTTAATAATCGATCATAGTTTGGTGTGTTATTTGTAAGTTTCAGGTTTTTACCGCATGATTAGTAATTAGGTAAAATGTGTTTTAGAATAAATCAAAAGTAAATTCAGATATGTTAAATTCCGGATCTGGCGTCCAAGCTGATGGGAAAAGAGGCGGCCAATCTCAAGTATCTAAAATATCTTCACAAGCAACTCAAAGTGTTCGAGCTAAAGAACAGCTTCTATATCTGGCTCAGCTGCTTGGTGTCCAGGTTCAGTTTTCTGATTTTCCAAAGGCTAACCATGAAATGTACCTCACATTGGTCTCTCTCAGTACACAGCCTCCTCAGGTACAACTACCTTATGATAGATTTTTTTCGGCATGTCTTAATGAAATAGTCTACAGAGGCTAGTTTTGTATGCTTTTTTGTTTAGTTAGAATTCAATAATTTAGTTATTTCCCGTTCTTGTCGTTCTGTATGCTTAGTCCAAATTTCTTAGGCCAAATAATTTGCTTGTATTTGCTTTTTTTTTTTTAGATATTTGCTTTTTGTTGCAGTGTAGAAAATATAACAAGTGGTGTTATCAGAGTATGCGGTGATGGATTTTGTTGATTTATTTCTTTTATAAACAAGTCAATAACACTAAATTATTATAAATACACGGTAACTATTTTTATAACAATTTTTAAGAATTTTAAGAAAAAACATTAATTATTATTTAACTGCTTTTAAGTTATTTTTTATCGGATTGATGCTAATTTTGCGTCTTTGATTTAGTACAGTTATGTTGAGTATTTCTTATGGATGTATAAATGAACGTTAAAAGTAATTAAATAGAACGTTTTGTGTAGGTGTGTCATGGAGAGGGTCCTACAACTGAGGCTTCTCATGAAAAGGCTGCTTTAGAAGCACTGAATGTTCTATCTGAGCTGGGATTAGATAATGTAACGCCCAACAAAGAAAGTAATATTGAGGGGTATGTATAATTAATTAATTGATTAATTGTATTGTTACTCTCTTATACGTCTCATTTTCGTGAAATCGTTAATTATAATAATGAAGACACACACCCATTCTGATTTTGAAACAGGATAGATATTAATCAAAATTTTGAGTTTTTTCCACAATTGCGATTGAATTTAATCAAGTTTTTAATTTAGAGTACAGAGTGCAAGCAAGCCTCAAGTAGTGCAGAAAACGCAGATGAATCAAAACGGCATTAAGAAATAGATTACATTATAAATTTTTTGTCTGTACCAATGAAGATATTTTATTAATAACTTATTTATCAAAACCATTTTGGTTTTTTAGAATCTATATTTAATTGTTGTATTTTTAATTTTTGGTTTTCATTGGTACAGAAAGTTTTCAGTTCCATGCGGCCATGTGACATGGACGGAACATGTAGTTATTTACATTAAATTTATGTTTTATATGATTTCATACCATATAAACATTATATGAAATGATTTCATGTTACTGTAATTTGTTGTCATATAGCTTATTCACTTGGCTATATACAGTGCTTCCCATTGGCTTTTTGAGGGCAGAAAGCTCAATAGGGAAACAGTAGTTCAGAATTGATATTTGGGAACTTTACACTCTTAAGATTGTTAAAATTTTGATTAACGTAGAAGTATTTTAATACATTAACATACAAATGTAATCCTAGATGTTTTTAAGCTATGCAATTGTCTATTTAGAGTGAATAGGGCGCAGTTCGTTGTAGTTCGTAGCTAAATAAATGAGGGGCTTAGGCATGATTTAGCGTTTGCCCTTCTATTCGGCATCGTATTTTGCCTGTGTTTACCTTAAATATAAATTATTTGATATAAACGAAATGTAATCAAGTTTTGCCTTACTTCAAACCATAACTGCGCCTTATTATTACAGTATTGATGTTCTCTAGTGCTATGCAATTCTGATCTGCTGATGAGTTAAAATTTCTTTGTAGATTGATTTCAGTATTCAAGGGGCTTATAAATGTGCTTTTAACTCTCCAAATATGTAATCGACAACAAACCTAACCATTACAGTTACTTTGTAATTATTTATTCAGGTTTATTAAAAAAAGATTATGACTAGCTGTAGCTTTAAGTTTTTAATATGTAACATAAGTAAATTTGTATTAATGCATGCTCCATCAGAAATTGAAATCAATAAACATTTTATTTAAATTGGCCCTAATTATTTAAATATGTTGNGCGTTTATAGCTCCACTACATTTTGCCATAAAAATTCATAGAGAACATCGACTTGCACTTCCAGTCCCCAATTTAAAAACGTTTTTATTTCTTAATTGTTAATATTTTCTAAACCCTGGTTTTGAAAGCCGAGTCTAATGATAAGTGAAGGAATTCAAAATTGCTACCGCAGCCTAACTCTCAGAATACTTTGCAGTAATTTGGGTTGCCTATTTAAAGGACCAGCAGTCGTCAGGAGATTTAAAACAATTTGTATTTTAAATTCAAATTATGATGATACCTTCGCGCGAAATGAGGGCGCTGTTGTCGAGTTAAAGATAGAAATACTACAGTACGATTAGAAATTTGTAAGCAACTAAATTTTTGGATTTTAATAAAATAATCTAAATTTATTTGGTACGTAAGCAATCTATAAAAATAATTATGATTTTACAATACCTAACACTTATTGTAAATGAAGTTTTATCAGTTTGTGTTGTATATTTCTGTAATGTGATCATTTTTACGTTGTGTCCCGTACATTACAACTTTTTATACGTTCTCTGCTTATAAATGTGCTTTTAACTCTCCAAATATGTAATCGACAACAAACCTAACCATTACAGTTACTTTGTAATTATTTATTCAGGTTTATTAAAAAAAGATTATGACTAGCTGTAGCTTTAAGTTTTTAATATGTAACATAAGTAAATTTGTATTAATGCATGCTCCATCAGAAATTGAAATCAATAAACATTTTATTTAAATTGGCCCTAATTATTTAAATATGTTGAATTATGGCCCCTGTTGTGTCGCTCCTTATTTTGTGTAATATTTAGTAATTTTTTACAAACCATTGAAAATAAATGTTTAATTGGCTTATATACGAGGGCTGAAGTTTTCTCATATATGCATTTAAAAAATATTGATTGGTACAAAAAGAAGGAGATACGAATTGGTTTCCATTTGGTTTAGACACATTTTTTCAAGTATGTTTCAAACGTGATTAACCAACTAGGTGCAAGTTGTGGTTTAAAGGATAAGATAATTAAGTAAAAAAAGATAAAGATGCACAAGTCTGTGAATAGTATGTAGTCTTATTTTGTGTTACTGCCTTACTAATTAAAACTAACAATCGTTTAGCTCCTGTGTAGACACCACATAACATTCCTATGATTTCTATGGTTGTTACTTACTCGTTTAGATCTATGAAAGCAAAGCTGACCATAATTTGATATTATGAAATTGCAGTTATTGTCAGTTATTAATGATTTGTTAAATGTATTCATTTAATTATTAATTTAATATATTCACTGTTTAGTAATTCAGCAACACGTAATTTCTCACAGTAACAGTAGGTAATTGTAGTTTTTTTGTAATGTATTTCCCATTTTTACCTTATATATTATCTGTATTAAAACCATTCTAGGTGGTTGTTACATGCTTTTATTACTCATTTTATTTATTAACATAATAAAAATGTATGGCTGTAATTGAATTACAGTTGAAAACAAGTTAACGAGATAAACGCCATGGTAAGAACCAAGGAATTACTGTCAGAGCAATCATCCTGACATGATATAGTCAATGTCTACACAAGAGACCACCTATGTAGTGATAACATCTTTAATCAAGAATAGCGGTATGTCTATTATTCTCATAACAAAGAAACTATTATATTATCACAACCTTAACAATAGTTATTTTGTTTACATTTTCTTATTAGCAACATACTTATTTGTTTTGTTATGTATTTTTGCAGTTTGAACAAGTGCTAAAGCCTTCTACAGAAAGAAAAAATCAGTTAACGTTGATGATCCTTCGATTAATCAAGGTAAGATTTACATGTTTAGTAATTTACTTTTTACTTATTTTACAGTCATGTTTTTGCTTATTACTGTCACTTATTTGTTAAATAACATCTAGTAAGTATTAAGAAAAAGAACTGTAATTGATTTTTAAAATTGTCTTTATAAAGAAATTACTAATTTTTGACTTCTGTAAAAAAGATACTTCAGTATCCTTAATATTTATTTTTGGGGTAATTGTCTTATGATAAATTATTATTGGAGTCTTTTATTTAACGTTACTTAATGAAATTTATTAATTAATTCGTACAATAATTGAGTTTTTTAGGCGTTTTCTTAATGAATTTTTGACTCTTAACCTTTGTTATAAAAAAATCATACCTTAATGTTAAATAAAAAAACAACCAAGTAAAGGTTTCTGATTAAAAGTATACACCATCATTTTGCGTTAAGGTGTTCCGGAATACCTAGAAAAATTGATTTCTTGACTATAGTCAACACTAAAGAAGCCTTTTCATCTGGCTTGTTTTCTATTTATCATTGATACTATTGGGGAAGAATTAATAACTAATTCATACTGTAAGTTTTATTTTTTTTTTCAGTAAATATAGAAAATAGATTTTTGAAGTAATTTTTTTTATGTAGTTTATTATCTTTTTTTGTTGAAACCGTGCACATTCATTTATGTTAATTATTTTGTAGTTATATATAAGTTGAAACTTTGAAATGTTTCAAAATTAATTTTTATTGTCTTATTAGAAATGCAGAATAACTAGAAAAACGGTGAAACCTAAAATCTCTTTAGGTTTAGTCTTTCATTTTGAACTTGGCTCATTTCCGTTAACTTATTGAATAATTTGAAATAATTCTGTTATGCAGTTTACCATAAACAAATTACGAACGATTAACTTTTGCAATACATATAAAAAACATAAACAAATGATGATCCTGCTTTTGGTGCAGTTTTCGTTCATGAATAGCTTAGATGTATTTAAAAGGATCATTTTTTACTTATTTTTCAATCTTATTATGAACAATTAGCGAATTATTAATTCTTGTAATTGATAAATGTTTATTGTAACTAATTTCATTTAAAATCAGTTCATTGAGGGTCACATTCTGCAACTAATTTAGGTAATAATACTTAATAACAGTTAAATTAATATTTGCTGATTTTGCCACAAAAATTCATAGAGATCATCGATTTGCACTTCCAGTCCCCAATTTAAAAACGTTTTTATTTCTTAATTGTTAATATTTTCTAAACCCTGGTTTTGAAAACTCTCAGAATACTTTGCAGTAAATTGGGTTGCCTATTTGAAGAACCAGCAGTCGCCAGGGGATTTAAAAGAATTTGTATTTTAAATTCAAATTATGATGATACCTTCGCGCGAAATGAGGGCGCTGTTGTCGAGTTAAAGATAGAAATACTACAGTACGATTAGAAATTTGTAAGCAACTAAATTTTTGGATTTTAATAAAATAATCTAAATTTATTTGGTACGTAAGCAATCTATAAAAATAATTATGATTTTACAATACCTAACACTTATTGTAAATGAAGTTTTATCAGTTTGTGTTGTATATTTCTGTAATGTGATCATTTTTACGTTGTGTCCCGTACATTACAACTTTTTATACGTTCTCTGATAGTCAAAGATGATTATAGTTAAATATGCGGACAAAAAACTGTTAGTTTTACTTGGGAAGATTGTGATGAAAGTATAAAAATGTAATAAAGCAATAATAGTCAAGAAGATAGATGCTTGTTAATCAAAAATAGCGATTGATAAAGAATAAAAGTAATGTACTTTATTTTTTTAGTAAGCATATAGTAACAACGATATGAATAAAGCAATGAATTTAATTTTTAATTTTCTGTCCAAAGATTAAGTTTTTTTTAACAGCTACTTCTTTTGTAGGCATCGGAAGTCTTCAAAAAGTATTGTATTTTCAAAAAATCCGTGTTTTTAAATTACGTGCCAATAAAAATAAACGAAGTTTTAGTTATATAATTCTTTAAAGAAAATAATATACAAATGAAAATGATAATTTCCCACTCTTATGCCAATGGAAGGTGCTTATCAATTTTTTCACAACGCGTTTATAACTAAAACTTCTTACGTTCCTGTAGGTATTTAGGTATTTAAAGAAAACCAAAAGATAACATAGTACATAAAAGTACAAACTAATTGCAAATTTTAGCTGGTTACCTATCCATTTAGAAATGCTCCAACTTTTTTATAACTAAAATCCACAGATCAGATAAATTCGAGTGTAAATTAATTTATTTATCCTGTGGTCTAACGTTATTTATCGTATTTCCTACATGAAGGCCATTAATAATTTGGGAACAGGAAATTTAAACCACAGAAATCGTTTATTAATAGGCTAAATAAACTTTAAATGTTTACATTTATTGTTTAAATAACAATAAGGTACTTCTTAAATGTTATACTGCAATTACTAAGTTTCTTAATTTCATT